AATATTCAGTCTTTTGTTAAAGCTACTTTAACTTTCTTTGGACGACCCTTTCGCCTTCTTATCCCAAGTGTCTGTGGAACTTTACGATGATCCCACTTCATTAGTAAACCCAATGAATGAATGCAAGAGTATTCCTTAAGGCCATATTTGCATGAACAAAATAATGGTGGAGTTAAACAAGAAAATCAACTAAACACGCAGAGTTTAACCAGTCAATAAATTCATCGTACGAATTCCAAGGCATACTATGATAATGATGTACCCATTTTTTGTTCAGAAGAAGGTACAACATAACTAGCTGCACCTAAATGTAATACTTTTGCTCGATCAAGTTTTTGTAACCATTGGTATGCCCTAACTGCCAAATCATCAGTAAATTCAATTTGAATAGCAAATGGTGTATTCGCGCTAGCTAATGAGCAGTCATACAACATATATTCAGCTGTTTGTAAGAATGATGACAATGACAATTTGTTACGTAATGCGTACATTTGTTTGATTTTACGATTCAACGATTCAAGACCGTTATTAGTAGATGGACTAAGATTTGCACTACCTTCATACCAAAATGGTAATGATAATAACCACTGGTCTTCAAAATATTTTCTAAATGCATCAAGATTTTTGTCAGCAGTCCTTTTCATAGCTGCGCTACCAAATAAATGATCATTAAAACTAATTGTAAATTGACGATATCTTTTTCAATAGCCAACCATTTTTCTTTATCTAATACCAATTTTCGATGTTCACGACTCTTATGGATTACGTGTGCCCAACACCTAAGTCGACGTGCTTGTGGTAACTCACACATGGCACTGGTAATGCCACCAGTACCATCAGCCATAACATGAGTAATATCATATGGTTGTTGAATGATTAGTGGTATACATGATTTTAATACACGAAATAAAGTTTTAAATGTATCTGCTGATTCATCTGTTGATATTAACCATAATCCTAATGGTTGAAAATGACGATTTAAATCTGATGTTTCAAAAACGAGTAAAGATAATTCATTTCATGTTATTTTATATGTACAATCAATAGCCAATATAGATGAATATTTACATGCAGATAATAACTGACGTCTAGTAATACAAATAAATCTATGATTAATATCAATAGCTTCATAATATGGCACAAATACATCATGCAATTTATCTGAAGATGAACAATTAAGATATTGGTTACACCATGTTTGCAAATCATCAGTTCATATTATACTTTTACGAGTTTTTAAACGACTATACTGAACAATATTTTTAATTTTTGCGTCTACGGTTAAACTTGGATGAATTACTGAAACAGCTTTTCTGATTTGTGTTTGTGTCATACCTTTATCCGACATTTGGCGAACAGTATCACGAATAGGCGATTTGAGACGAGTTGTATTATTACGTTGATCATGATTATGCGATTCAGATTTAAATACTGTAAATTTATTATTGGATTCTTTTAATTTTAATTAAAAAAGACAAAGAGGATATTTTCTGTATCCGTACAACCATATGTAGTAGTTTTACCAGCTTGAAAATGCTCGGTACGATAAGTAGAAACTTTATTTTCTTTTGTCAAAGATACGATATCACTTTCAAAAGCAGAAGAGAAACATTCGTGCCAAGTTCGGCTAGACATTATGAAAGAGCAGATTTAATTGAGAATGTACTGATGGGACATGCATGTAGACTTATATAGCTAGTTGAGTATCAAAAGCTCATCGATTTGTATCTGATGAAAAAAAGCTCATTAATTCATACAAATTAAAGCAAAGACTTGATAATGGAAAATGGAACAGTATGTTGTACAAAATGGGATCATCGTAAAGTTCCACAGACACTTGGGATAAGAAGGGGAAAGGGTCGTCCAAAGAAAGTTAAAGTAGCTTTAACAAAAGACTGAATATTAGTGAAAAACTATTGTAATCTAGTACTTCTTTTGTTCTTGAACTATTTTTCTCTTATTAAATATACTTTACTACTGATAAAATCATTAATTAATTTTCATAAATTAATTACCGAGCTCATTTCTCTCTTTTTACCGACGAAAATAAAATCTACCGAGCTCATTTGTCTCTTTTCAGAGTTTAAATATATTTCCGAGCTCAAAAGTCTCATTTATATAAAAAAATATAATTTTATTATAACTGAGCTCATTTCTCTCATTTTAAAGCCAATTAAGTACACCGAGCTCAAATATCTCTTCTTTCCGAGCTCATTTAATTTCGCGTCCTAATAATTTGATAAGAAAAAAATAGCTAATCAATTGTTCTTCTAAATTATAGAATCGCCTGACATTGCAGCAGCAACATGTACATCGGATATCCAATGTAAATCGGGAATAGATCATAATAAGGCAAATGGACGATGGACAGGTTAATGATGTTTATTGGTTTTTATTCGCACTAAGCCCCCTTGTAGCCATATGTCGGTTCTTTAGAAAAAAATTTCAAGAAATGATGACCATGTCAAAGTACGGTGATCAAATTTTTTTCGGTTTCATCTATTATTGTTCGTGAGATGTCGACAACAGTGATCAAAGCAAGGCTGTTCGTATTCTCGATGTTTACGAATATTTGCGCTGTTGGTCTTTTTGGCAGGCATCGGGAGTCGAAAATCCCTAAAATCGCTGGAAAGGTTTTCAAAAATCCTTTTTCGTATCAAAAACAAGAGTAAAACTCAAATTTTCAAGTTCTAGCCGCATTTTGAAATCAATCTGAGCTCTTCAGCATCTATATAGACGTCAATTTTTGGGAAATATAAAAAGCCATAAAAAAATGACAAGTTAGAGAAAAGATGATATTAGCGTATAACAGCATTTTGGAGACTACTACTAAATTTCTTTTAACTTTTTATCAGGATATCGCCCAGATTTGTTTGATATCTTATTTTAATCAGAAGACTGTACTCTACAAACTGACAATATTAGAAAATTTCCATTAACAGAAAGTATTGTGGAATAAACGGTTTTGGAAAATTACTTTTTTTATAAAACCCTTATAAACCATGATATAGTCAAAAGCAGTATGGTTATTCAGCTATATGCTTATAGGGAGGAAGCACAGCAGGCAATTTCTTCTTAGCAGTACGAACATTTTATGAAGTTCGTTCGGAAATTTTAAAAATCGAATTCGGGGTTATCAAGCACGTTTTATCGAATGACTAACTCAGAATTCTCCATGAGCAAAGCTTTTTTGACGAATTTAAGCCTTAGGCCTCAGCCAGGAATTTGTTAAATACTAAGTTTTTGCATGGAAAAATATTGTTTTATATGTCGTTCGATATAATTTGACGCGCTGATTCAAAATATTACATTGTCCTCCGAACAAATTTGGGAAATTTTACAATAACTTGCAAGAAAAATATCTTACGCAATTCTTCTTAAACTTACAAGAAAAAATATCCTGTTAGTTTCTTCTAAAGCATGTGCGAAATTTTCTCTTTATGATTCTCTGTAGCAATTCTTTGCGTGGCATTTGGAGAAACACAAAGAGTTTGTTTTTTCCGCGAGAGAATCACGAATGATTCTCTTGCGAGATGTCGCAAGGAAATTTGCTTGCGTAATCTGTGGAAAAAGCGAAATGTTTTTTCTTCTTCAACGATTTCCTACGAGGATAAGACATAAGTTCTAGTCGTGATGTCGTGATTTAGTTTTCAGTGGTATTTTTATATAGATCATGAAAGTTTTTCTCTTTTTTTGAGAGTTCCCGCGAGATAAATAAAATGATTTCTATTTGTAACCTCCTAGGACAGTTTTTTGTGTATAGCTAAACTCTTCACTAAAGTTTTATTACTCCTATTGTAAATATTGTACAAAAACAATAATTTCTTTATGAAAAAAAGTGTTTGTTATTATTTACAGTATTCTGCATTGTAAGAGCATGTCTGTACTTCATGAACCGTGACTTTAACTAATGACTTTAAATTTCGTGTAGTGATAATTCTTACCAAATGCCAGTCCATCCACGGTTTAAGCTACTTTAACTCAATGTTTTGTAAGATATAACACTTGTTTTTCAATGAACTGCCACTTGTGTGTGATCCGAGGCAGAAGAACGCCTTATTCTTTTTTCAAAATATAACCATAACTCTCTTCTATTTGTGGCATAAATTTAAGGTATCGATACTTGACGGTTAGTGACAGGCATGCATCGATGCTAACATAATAGTGGTATAATGATAACGTATCGTATCGGTCATAATAGATCTTTGTTATTCAAACTTCTGTATCCATTTGTTTTTTTGTGAATCTAAACTCTACATTTTTACTTTTAAGGAAAACTGTTTTTAGAAAAACATTAGGGAAACTTTAAGTGAAATTGTTCGAATAGATGTTTTTTGAAAATTAGTAAAGAGCGGCTTCAATCGATTCGAGTTGGTGATTACGAAAATTTATTTTCTTTGATTTTCCTTTAACATTGAAAAGTACGATTTACCTCGGTAACGACCAAAATAGTGTACGTCCAAAGTAGCGATCTGCAGCTCGACCTTGCCTTGACAGATAAGGGTAGGACTAGGTCATCAAATTTTTATAGAGGAGGACTCAGGCCACAAAAAACAGCTGTCCTGCACGTCTCTAGCTCAAAACTGTTTCATTTAGTATCTGTGACTTAAAAAAAGAAAGAAATTTACGATAAAATTCATTTCTGATACCGATGTGATATGGTACCCATATACTGATATCAGTGTATGCCTAGTTACTGAAACCATCTTACGACCATCAGTCACTTTTAAAATTTGATGTCCTCTTCGAATTAAATTCAAAAGTCAGCCTGGATATTATCTTAACTTCAAAACTTCGAGTAGTCTGCAGTACCTGTAGATTATTCGCATAAAGTTTGTTGATTAACTGTTGTACAGTTCTAAAAAAGCCATAAGGAAACGAACTTAATAAACTAAGGATCACCTTTTCTATCATATCTTCTGCAGGCAATGTGTATCCAGATATTGTAGTTCTCGTTCAAAGAAATTAAACTAGAACTGTTACATCTCTCGAATCTGGCAGGTTTTTCTAAATTTTTGCTCGTTAGATATAACTTACGATTAGAAAAAAAAGTGGTCAAAATCATGCGAGATTTCGCGAGCGAACGCGATTTCACAATCAGCAATATAAATGGCATATATATAACATAGAGAAACGATCTGTTGAAAGCTTGAATGAGATTACGTTTAGAGAAACTCGGAGAATCTCATTACACACTGAGAAGCTGGAAACTTTTTCTAGCGTACAAAATAGTTTGTTTTCTATTCGACTTTAAATTCAGTCTGGACCATTTTTTCGTTATTAAATAGCTCAGAGAGCAGAGAATCGTTCCTAGTTTTTATTTTTAACTTTTACGAACAATTAAATTCTTTTAACAAATGCATTTTGTAGAGCAAACATTTTTCTACAAAATTAGATCTTTTACAGCTCTGAGAGAATCGTGATAACTGATTTATAGCAATTCTTCCGGATGCCTCAACACCAATTAAAAACTGTTGCATGCTATGTGTGAGGGGATCTTAAACAGATTAAGTGCAATAAATTCATGTATGCATTTATCGGCAAAGCCTCTAGACAATAGCTCAATGGGACACTAGAATCTGGGATTTTAGATGTGATTATCGAAAATGTTAGATTCTCTGAAGTCTACACAAATGAACAAACACCTCGACTTATTTCTTTCTCATACATTGTTCTTTTTAAGGTACCTGTCTCAAGCCTAATAAATCGTTGCCAAATGTTACGGGGATCTGTCAACTAGAAGGATGGTGCCCCGTTGAGAATGATTCGATACAACCGAAACCGATACGTGATGCATTAAATTTTACAATATTTATTAAAAATTTTATTGAATTTCCTCGATTTAAAGTAATACGAAAAAATATTGTCGCATCACCCGATTATCTCAAAGGCTGTATTTATAACAATAGGACAGACAGAACATGTCCCATATTTAAGTACGTCAAAGAGCAATTACAAAATGATGTGTGAGTTCAAAATGTTAAAATATATTTTGTTTTTAGAGTTGGAAATTTACTTGAAGACGTTGAATCAGATCCAGATGAAAGAGACAAAATGTTGCAATTGGGTGGTGTTATTCGTGTTAAAGTTGATTGGGATTGCAATTTAGGTTTGCACATTCATTTTTAAATTAACATCAAATATATTGATAACAGTGTTAACTGTTATTATATTTTTAGATAAACCTTTGGCAAGATGTGAACCGCGATATACTTTTGGACGTCTCGATGCTCGATTTAAAGACGAAACGTTTTCTTTTGGATTTAATTTTCGATTTGCCTCTCATTGGAAACATCAAAATCGTGCATTTCGAACATTAACAAAAGCATTTGGACTCCGCATGATTATCTCAGTTTCTGGTCGAGCTGGTAAATTTGACGTTATTACATTGAGTTTAAATATTGGTTCATTAATTGGAATATTGGGTTTAGCCACGTTCATTTGTGATATTGTTGCACTCTATCTTCATAGACAATCAACTGTTTATCGTCAACAAAAATTTCAAGATGTTGATTTAAATTTGATGCGTTTAGAAAAATTGAATAGTTTACAACCGAATATTGATGAAACAGTCAAACAAAATCATGAACAATCTTCATCAACATTAGATAGTAACAACAAAGAAATTCATAAACGAAAAAAGAAACACAAGGATAGAAACGATTCATCACTACAGAATCATCTATCACACCAACAACATTGTAATTTTTCTTTGCAAAATTCAATTGACATGTCATCTATACCAAATGTTGACTCATCTCATTCATCGTTGAGAACAAATAATGCTTCATCATCATCTCTTGTTGTTACACCCATAATGATGACGAAACATCAACAATATAAACAACAACCAAATTCCATTATTAGTCGTTCGTTATCATTTGATAAAGCTTTATCATCACAATCATCACCAATTATAACACGTCGATTAAAAGATAATAATACACAACGTAACAAACATAACAGATCAAAATCACGTGATAGTGCAACAGTATACGAACATGATCGTTTAAATAAACTGACGGATCAAGACATCGAGGAACGTGATAATATAGTATTTGTAGACGATGATGATGAGGACGAGACGGATAGAGCATCTGTAAACACCGTACAATTTAATCTAGCAGATCATTCAAAAACCCTAACAAAAGATCATACGGCAACACCACCGGCATCTGAAATACTGTCAAATTCAAAATTAGAGACGTTTTTGTAAATATCAAGTTATTCTGTTTTCCATTTTTATTTTATTTATTTTCTATTATATCATATCTCTGCTATTCTTTGGCATTTGTGTTCATGATATATTTTTTGTTCAAGTTTTAATATTATGAAGCTGTCCATAATTTACATATGTATCACATGGATCGTTGAATAAGTCCCTTATACTTACTTCTAAACAGAGATACGCCGGTCAGGCACGGTCTGAGTTTAACACAAGTCTCCGTCTGACTGTATTCTCGGTCAAGTCCATTTTTAAACTCATTTTTAACTCTTCTTCATTATGAATAACTTTCAAACTAAAACTTTCAAATATAAGTCTTATTAGTGAATAGTATTCACAAAATTTTAACTCTAGATCAGAACTATGATAGTTACCGTTACAGTAACTGTAACTGTTGATCTTTTACCGTTCCTGGTAACGGTAACGACTAGTTATAAGTAACGCTAACTGTCGAGCATGGGTTTAACGAAATCAGAAGTGTATAAGTTCTTACGGCTAATTCTACAGTAGGGCTGTCACAGTTACTAGTTCCCATTAGCACCGTTACTCAGTAACGGTAACTATTGAACTCATGCTCATAACGGTAACTGATCACCTGTTACCATTACCAAGTACGACAACTGTTCAACAGTTACCGTTACCGAGTGACGATGGTATCGGTAACTGGTAACTGTCACAGTCCTGCTCTAGATTAATGAGACGATTCTGTAACTACAGACTTGGAAATTAGCTATATCCGAAACTTTGAACTACACCTTATACAAAATGTTAAAGTGTCGGATTTTTTTATTCAATAAGTGTATTATGTGATCAGATTGAAACAAGAGTAAAATACACGAGGAGATAACGCTAAAACAGCTGTGACATACGAAAATAGAGAATGATTGAATCTATATATTGTTCCAAAAGGAGGAATAAAAAGTAGAGATAAAAAAATCCTAGCAAAAAGCGTTTGCGTGTTGAGATAAAGAAACTTTTTCGCGTATTAGTACTTTTTTATTTGCATTTGTTGTTTACAATTGCAAATTTGAAAGCAAAGATGTTGAAGGTGATGGGCGATACCCTTACTAATACATAGAAACAAAAATAAAACCTAGTAAACTCCATTTGAGAAATAACAAAAAGAAATGTTCAATCTAAAAAATAAATCACTTTTAATAATTAATCTTCTGGCGTTTTATCATTATTCTGAGTTGGATTCAGTAATAACGAACGTTTTGTTTCTAATTCATTACCAGCGCGTTCAACAGCACGCGGAATATCCAAACTTGTTTTAGAGGCCATCCTTGGTAATACCAATTGACACTCATCTTCGCCAGCACTAATCTTCTGCATTTTCCATAATAAATCATACGTAATTTCCTCTGTAACTATGGAATCATGTTTGTATTGCGAATGAGACTGGACAAACTGACGCATCCATGCAGCATTTGTTAACAAAGTACCTTATAAGAAAAAGAAAATTAAAATATTTCTAGAATATTTGTATTTAGTTTTTCACTTACCGGCAGCTCGTTTGTTTATTAAATTCAAATACTGATTAATTGTACATCGTGTATCAGCATCGATTTCTATATTGTTAAGATAGTCTTGGACAATACGTAGAAGACCGACGAATTGATCCTAAGGGAAAAAAAGCCGAGATACATAATCATGTAGAACAAAAACTTCGTTAATAAACTAAATATGTTTAGAACAACAGATAATAAAATTCAAAACATTGCTTACTGATCCATTGATTATTTCATCTACTGACATCAAACGATGTTCACAATCACTTTCTGTATTATCAAATAATGGTTTTTTCATAGAAGCCATACTTGGTGTTTCAGGTGTTTGACCTAGAAGGTAACAAGTCAGTAAAAAACATATTGAATAAATAAAATTAGTTTTCATTACCAGTTGCTAATGTTTTTCTAAAATGAAATTTTTGATTTTTAACAGCATCACGTTGTTGAGCAAACTGCATATTTTCATCGACCTATAAATGGAACTAACATATTAACATATTCTATAGGCTAGAAAAATGAATTTATTCATGCATACGAACGTTTGAGATTGGTATTAATAAATTCAAATTGTATGTCATTATTGCTCTTGTTAATAAAACAACAAATGTGACCAATGCCTAAATAGAATTATTTTATATCTGTTTTTGTTATAAACTCTTTTATTCTGAACCTTACTGCATTTTCAAAATCTGTCATTTGTAACTGAAAAGAAAAATCTTACTTATTAAGAATGTCTAAAGTAAAGTTATATCAACTACATACTTCAGTTGGTCGAAATTCTACACGCCATCCAATATTACTATTTACGGGTGGAAGTTTAAAACGCATCGATTGCCAATTTGTCGAATTGATATTCTTTAAAACAAGAATAAATAATAGAAAAACGAATCGATTTCTTTTATTCATATTATAAATCGCTTACTTCAAAATGTTCTGTATCTTCTTCATCGTTTAACTCAATTTTTTCTTCGAATAGTACAAGTGTATCACGAATAAATAGATGAGCGATATGCTGCGCTAATAAATGATCAATACCTGAATGAAAGAAGCTATGACAAAGACACAAACGATAAAATGATTTGTAAAACACAATACCGTTTGATGTGAGCCTATGAAATGCATCTTTATCTTGTACAACCTCTATATCATTAAATTTTGCACTTTCTGGAGATATATAACAATCAATAGATGAATAACGCGATTTTGGAATTTGAAAGGAATTATTTTTCAATGGCTAAATAAATAAAACATACTTTTTCAATATCTTTACTTCTTTTTCTAAATATTAATAATCTTAACAAACTTCAAGGCCTCTTTCTTCTTCTGTTCGATCATCTGTTGCTGCAGATAAAATATTCCATCGGCAATCAACATCAGCTAGATAACCACGCCAAATTGGACATGCTGCACTCAGAGCAAGCTAAAAGTTAAAAAAAGACAGTATAATCCAATACCACACTTGATACAAACGAAAAAAACTTTTTTGTTTTAATTATTTATAAAAAAAAAAACAATGTAAAACAACAAATCTTACCATAATAGGTGTTAACGGCGTCAATTGATCATATAGAAATCGTGCTTCTTCAATCGATTGTGCCTGAAACGTTACCTGCAGACAACAACAACCCATTCCAAATCCCATGGCATCCATATAAATACAATCATTTAACGAGGCTGCTTCACTTGCGCCATTATCACCACCATAAACAGACAGATCTTCTTTAAACGGTCTTGGCGTATTTTTGTCGATAAAAACTAAATATAAAACGTTATTTTCAAAAATTATTTATCTCATTTTTACTCTTACTCGGTACATTAATAGCCACTTTTGCGCGTCGTCGTTCTCGAATATTTCTTGTCAATGTCCTGAAAGGAAATAAAAGTTTGTCAATTATACACAATACTCAAGAAAATACTCTTGAAAAACACTTACTGAAATCTCGGATGTTCAGGAAATATAGCCTCATCAGGAAAAAATAAAGAGGCTGATGCTGATGTAGTTGGGTGCGGCGTATAAGTAGGAAAAGTATATTCGGCACAACCATTCCTAATATATATTATCAATCATTATTGACTTTTAGTAACAAAAACAGATGTTAGTTACCTGGGAAATGCAGATGTACTTATAACATATTCATCTTTATCGAGTAATTCTTGTCCCTGCCGCCGTCTGACGATAAAACAAATAAATGTCAAATTTGAAGAACATTGTAACACTTAAGTACTCTACCCGAATGTCTCTATAAATTGACTATTATAATACTGAATAATAAAATATACCTTAATTTCATGTTTGCTTCAACAAGATTGAAATGAGAAGGCAAATGCCCGTAAGGTTTGCCCGGCGTTCCTAAAATATAAGATAAATTATTGCTTTCAGTTTCTTTTTTCCACTTTCGTCTATAACTATTAGTACATCCATATATAAGTTCAAATTTACGATAGATATTTCTTCTAATTAAATCTATAAGCGGATTATATCTATTCATACCTTCAATCATATAATCAGCATATTCCGGACGCCAAAATGTTTGACAATCACTGAACAGATAAAACAGAAAAGAATTTTATGATTATATTAAAGAATGCTCAAATTACTCTGGATTTTCATTTTCTGGTTCCATAAGTATAGGTAAAATTTTATGTGCTTTCAGGAGTAACTGTGCTTTTTTGTTTTTATGATCGAATCGTACCATCATAAATTCAACCTGAAAAAGAAAGAAGTTCTCTTTAAACGCTACAACTTTTTCAATGAAACTTACTTCATCACCCCACTTCAAACAATCATTACGACGATCTTTGACTTTTTTGAAATTATTTATAAATTGTTCAACGCCATGTTCTCGAATATACTGTGCCCGTTTCTGTGTTTCTTTCCATGTTAAAGCTTGACCTTTGGTTAAAAGACCCATTATTGATTAAAAAACGTTGCTTCTAAATATTCTCTAAATAAAAGAAAATTCGTTAAAGAATCCACAAGGTTATAGCATTATAATGTTATTTTCGCTTGTTTTTCGCATATCATTATTAGTCCGTAAAGAATCTTGGCGTTCTTCTTGTACCTGGTTGACTTTCTACGGGCAAATTTGAAAAAAAAAGACAACTGAATGATTAGATAGTCACGGTACAAGAGAAACGTCAATCAGTTTTTACTGACTATAACAATGATGCGCGAAAAACGAGCGAAAATAATGTCAGACTGTGTTGTATCTGTCGATTTCTATTGTGCACGAGTCAACATTAATACAATCTACGTTCTTGCCTTCACATATTCATGAATCCTGCTTTTCTTCCTGTTCTTTCCAAGAATCTTGCTATAACGTTTTTTCTTGCCAAAATCTTATTTTGAACAGAACAGAAATATGAAAATAATAACAAGGACAGACTGTCATATATAACGTCTCACAAGCACTTTCATAAACAAACGTATTCATTTCAATATGTTTAAAGTCGAGAATGCACGTAAAGTGCTGACAGGTGTTGTAGCAGCGTCTAACTGAAGTGATGTTCTAATTAGTAATTTTAAAGAATGTTTTGCTGTCGTTGTGAACGGGAAAAACAACAGCAACAACAATTCTTCATATTAGAGTTTTAATCTGAGAATGATGTTGAGACAGAAGACGAGATTTCACAAAATGTATTATCTATCTGTGATTTTATTTGCATAGCGTTTGCCATACAAAAGGAGGTCACAGATCGATGAGGGACTTAGAGAAAGTTTCTGTTTTTTCACGTGGAGATAAGATTCTGGCAAGAAAAGCAAGAAAAAATGGAATCCTAGCAGGAATTCCAGATTTCTTTTTTTTTATTAAGACTATCGTTACATTTCCAAGAAAATGCGATTGCTTCTTGTATTGTCATTCTTTTAGGAATTTTTGGTAGACGTTCATTAAACAAGAATCTTGGGAGGAACAGAAACAAAAGCAAGATTCTCAATCAACAACGTCGATTAGTGTATGATGTCAGTACAGAAAAACGAAAACGAAACAACTGGAATAAGCAGTGATGAATTATATATTATATTACTTTATTATTGTTAATTTAATTTCGCCTATACTAATAAAATCGCAAGAAAAAAAATAAAAAAAAGAAAGAGAAGATTTTTGAGTAGTAAGTGACTCTCACTCGTTTTTCGAATAGAAAAATGATTACAAAACTCGAAGAAAAAGCAGCTTTTTGAGAGCAGCACTATTATCGGTTCACGGGATAAAATATTCAAGTCGTGTGGTATGAGGATGTTGTCTGTGCATTAGTTTGAATAATACAAGATGTAGATGTCGCCTTCGTACTACGCAATTATACGTTTAACTTGCTAGTTAAGTAAATATTTGGGTAGGTGGCTGGCTATTAGATTAAGTGGGGGTTAGCTTACGTTCGGATCAGAAGTTAGACCTGCGCTCAATCACACTTCTTTAAATCTCATTGGCTTTTTTTCTTTCGTTCTGAATCTTTTATTTAATAAGAAAGAGAAGAACGATAAAAAGAATGGATGGCTGACAGTTTCTACATTCAATTCCAACGACGTGTATTTCTATCATACTCTGTATGCGAGTGAGAAAGTAATGTTTTCCGCTAGATAATTGTTGTAAATGACCAGATATTTTCGACACTAAGGTTTTAAGGTATTGCGTTTCCAAGTATGATTCACTGTAAATAATATTACTATTGTTATCCATGTGCTTTTTATCAGCGAGCAATATGCCTATTTTCTGTCAAAAAGCTGAGACTTTAGCTGTATAGCAGTTTGTTTAACGGCATCACATGAAATTCTAAAGTGTTAAAGCATTTAATTCTCTTACTCATAAAATCCTGATGATGAGCGTCCATTTTACTTGGCATATGACTTTTCTTTCATATGCATGTTAAATCAATCGTTTCATATTCTGTTATTTAAAAGAGAGAAAAAGCTTTTTCGTTCCAGATTTATCCGTTTGAAACATGATCTGGAAGATTTTGTGAAGGTGGTTTATTTCTCTCTTTCTATTTACAGTTGATAGGATAAGAGAATATGCCGTCATATCCAGTTTTAAATGGATTTTATGAATTACAACGAACCATTGGAAACGGTTAGTTTATTTTATTAGTAGTCTAATTCTTATTTTAAGTCCCTTTTGTTGAATTATTTAGGTGGCTTTGGTAAAGTCAAACAAGGTGAGAATTGGTCAGCTACATTGGGTTGACATTATAATTATGATAGATCTTTGTTACTATTACAGCTGTTCATTTACTAACTGGCGAACATGTAGCTATTAAAATTATTGATAAAGCTAAATTAGGAGTGAGTGATACTAGTGAAGTATGATTAAAATGATAAGAAGTATATGTTCTCTGTTTCTCTCCTTATGCAGAGTGATGTACAACGAATTGCTTTGGAAATTAAAGCAATGAAGGAACTACGTCATCAATATATTTGTCAATTATATCAAGTTATTGAAACAGAACATCATTATTTTCTGGTATTAGAGGTAATAGTTTATATTTATTTTACACTACATGCCTCATATAATTCTTGAATATTTTATGTTTTCAATTTGATTATTATTGTCTTGTAACACTGATCAGAATAATAATTTTATGCTGGGAAACGTATATAAATATTTGGTGGAAATCTTAGGGTAGTCACATTTCAATATAATCTTATCCTTTTGTTTAGTATTTTTGCAATGGTGAACTATTTGATTATATTGTGAATCGTAATCGTTTATCTGAAGATCAAGCACGTCATTTTTTTCGTCAAATTGTATCAGCTGTGGCTTACATTCACAAGAGAGGTTATTGTCACAGAGATTTGAAACCTGTACGTTCTGTTTGTTTTTTCTTCGAATTTTTTGTAGTTTTATTTATTATTACGTAGGAAAATTTGTTACTTGATCGACGAGACAATTTGAAATTAATTGATTTTGGCTTATGTGCTCAACCAAAAGTAGATACTGATTTTTGTGGATCTTTTTTTACTATTATTATTCGTTATTTTCATTAGGGTGGTATCAGTGTTGAACAGCTCGGTACAGCCTGTGGTAGTCCTGCATATGCAGCACCCGTAAGTTACTTGACCTGATAATGCTTGTTTGATGTTGATCAGTTTTTACTCTTTGTTTTAGGAGATAATAGGTGGACAGAATTACAGAGGAGATGTGGTAAGAATGATATATTTCGTTTATTCATAGAAGTTATACCTGAAAAAACGACAACTTTTTACGTTGTTTAGGTTCATTTTTAGCAGAATCCGTAGGTATAATGCTTCTATGTATCTTATTGTTGTTGATAGTGAATGATATTTGATACAGCTTTGCTACTTGAAATTTGCTTTGAATACTTTTATTCTGCTAAAGCTTGAATAACCAGTTGCTTGTATGCTACACTTTCCAACAAGAAAATAGCAGTATTAGTTATTTGTACATTAAATTTGAATTAATATTAATTCAGTAACGAATATCTTTTAATTTTATTTTATATAGGCTGATGTATGGAGTCTCGGTGTTTTACTCTACGCTTTACTATGTGGTTGTTTACCGTTTGATGATGAAAATATAGCAACAATGTATATGAAAATTCAAGTGAGCAATTAAGAAATGATGTGAAAAAGAAAAGAGTTTATTTGGTTTTTTTATTATAATTTTAGAACGGTATATATCATGTGCCCACATGGCTTTCAATAGAGAGTATTAATTTTATACGATCAATGCTACAAGTTGATCCAGCGTAAGTAAATCGGAAATGTCTCAGAATTAAAGGCGTATACAATTTCTGAAGATAAAAGAGAAGAACGATCTAAATTGAAGAAAAAAACTTCAAATTTCACTTTAATAATATATTTTTATTTATTATGTTTTTGCTTACTACTTGCAAAAAGTCTGTAATTGATAAAGTACATTTATTTTAGGCGTCGTATACGAATTGATGATATACTTCGTCATCGCTGGTTAATGAGTGGTCCGTATACTGAAGCTGTTCAATGGGAATCAACATTTAATGTACGTAATTAAACGCAAAGAATAATAATAATCTTCATAAATTATTTTCATTTAATTATAGAATAAACTCGATGCAACATGTATAGGAGAAATGGCTCTCTATCACAAAGTGACTGTTAGTGAAATTGTTCAGGAACTTTCTCAGGTAAAGTATTTTAAAAAATTTATATCAAAAATGAATTGACAGTATTTATTACATTTCTCACTCACAATAATGTCTGTCTGTAGCAAAGAGAAACCGACATTTCGTTTAAATTATATATTATTTCTGTTTTATAGAAACGTTATGATTATACTACAGCCACATATTTTATTTTATTGGATATGATCTCTCGTAATAAAGCAATACGATTAAATCGGCGTCATTTACTTCAAACACCACCGGCACCAGTCACACCTATTATAGCATCTTTATTACGTGAAAAAGTGATTCTATTCTTCCATTATTAGTATTGTTGGGTTAATGCTCAACTTTTGTTGTTAATTATAGCAAGAAGGTACAATAACGCCAAGATCACGTGGCAATCGTACATATCATTATAATCATGACGATGACGATGTAATTTTGAATCCAAATGAAAAAAACACACCGATCAGTAAACCGCCATTGTCTGTTGAACGGAAACGACATGAAAATAAAGAACCAAATTATGGCAGACATTCATCATCAGATAAACCTAATAAAGAAAATATTGAACATACAAGTCGTTTTGAAAGAGAACGAACAGTATCAAAGTAAAATTAATATTTTGTCAAAATATAATAAACTATCAACATTAATAAAAATTTCTTATTTAGAGCACCTTGTTGTCAACGTTTATTAATGTATACAGAATCACCTGGTTCAACTCGTCGCAATGGAGAAAAAAAAGGTAGGAAAATTGAGAATTTAGTATTAAATTTATTTTTCTTTTATATTTTTTCTTTAATAAATTTTAGATTTTCGTATAACATCATCGAAATCCTACGATGATGGTCTTGATACAGACGATTTAGACAGTTCAAAAATAGCTGCAACAATGAAGTATATATTTTTTTTGTTTTGTTTTGATAACAATGTATAATTATTTGCCTTTTTTTTCAGAGCTGTGTCTGTTGGCACAGTTGATGATATTGATTCAACAAATGAATTTGAAGCATTTTTGACACCACAACGTCAAAAGAAGAATGTTCGTGCCTTATTCGGTAGTGTTGAACGTGGTCTTAATACCGTTAAAACATTACTAACTCCAAAACGAATAAGTTCAAATAAACCACGCAAAACTTGGGTATAAATAAATAATTATACATTTTTTAAAGTTAATAACAAAATATTTTATTTTTCTCGTTTTAGGAAACAGCTAATATATCATTTTTGTCTATTTCTGATCCAGAAGAAATTGTTGAATTACTTGAGCAAGCTATTAAACGCAATAAACAACTCAAATATGAACAAAAAGGCAGTCGATTTATTTACAATGTTTATATTCCCGATGATTGGGGTAAAGTGAATTTATCATTTGATTTAGAAGTTGTTTCTGTTCAAGGAAAAGGTTATGGTATACAACGTAAACGAACAAAAGGAAGTGTATGGCATTATAAATGTTGCTTTGAAGATATTATTAAACAATTAACAACACTTATGCAATTACAAACATGTGTTTAATATTTCATTTTTCATTTTCATCTAGTCAGATATACATGGATATTATGACATTCAAAAAAATTTTCTACTGATCTCTCTATTTTGTATGACTTTTTGTTGTTTTGCGTATCTAGTCGAATCTTTTTTTTTTCGTGTATGAATTATTTTTTACATAATTTTTTCGTGTATTCAATGTGCAATGAGTGAGACATACGTAAGATAATGTGATTATTTCTGATTTAACTTTAAAAAAAAAGTGATTTGTGTTTTTTTTTCCAATATTATCTAATTTTCTGTTGATGTTCGTTTATTCAATTGAACATCTCTATACAAAATATTTTTGAAATAAAAAAAAATGCTGATAATGGTTATAGACTATGCTTTTAAAATTAAAGCAGTAATAATTGATTTTTTGCTGATGAATTAGGATATTGGCTACATTTTTTAATTATTACTATTTGAATTCGTAACAGCACAAACTCTGTGTTTAGTAAATTTACCGTCTGCTAGCAGAGGTCGTCATGAGATGAAGATTCCATAAGATTTTACGAGATCTTGTGGGACGATAAAAGATGAAAATTCTCAAAATATCCATGAGACGGGATGGGACACAAATTTTATCTCATGATACTCTTTTTTTTTTATGATTTGGTGGCTTTTATTTTGTTTTGTTAATGTGTAGTTTATGAAAGTTTTGTCATGCATAAATATAATATAATGTGATATGGAAAAGCAGATTTTTACAGTATATGAAAAGTAGAAAAACTAACGAATTAAGTTGTCTACAGTAAAGACTCTACTTAACAAGAAATAATTTCTGAGTAAAAAATATAATGTGATCCCGTGTGATTGATTTCACAGGTTCTGAAATTTTTTTCAGAAAGAGAGAGAGATATTGACTCAACAAAAGACATTGACATTTTGATTCTTCGAGTTTTTTGCTGTGCTTAGTCTATTTTCTTTTTCTTTTTATCTTTAATTTTTATATGAAAAAAGAAGAACGATAGCTAAAATTTTCTGTCGAATTTGGCCATCGTATATACGCACATCATACGGTCGCGCCTCCTCTTCGTTATTAAACGGATGTAATCTTTCAGAAAAGGTAAAACATTATGTCGAAATTTTTGATAGTAAACAGAATCGATTGAAAAGAAAAATAAGCTATTTTAGAAGAATGGTTTTCAGAGCTCAGTTTAGTAGAACAAAAGCTACTTGAAAACTTTTAAAATAATTTACAAGAATAATAAAAAATAAAAAATAAATCACCAGAGCTGATACACAGTTGAAGAATATTAGGACAGTCTGATTAGTTCCATAGTACACTGACAGTGTGGAGACATTCCATTTGCTGTAGTTCCCAATCGAGATATCTTTTTAAACAGGAAAATTTTTTTAATAATCCAAATAGGCTATGGTTCCGGATATAATTCGATATTCCAATTGAGAAATCTTTGTTGGTTAATATAATTTCTCACTTTCACATTAACATGTTTTTCATCAAATCTTCTTAGTTCGAAAGGGGCGTTGTCGTGTCAGATAATATGAGTATAAATGCCGCAACGGTTGGAATGTTGATACGCTTTTGGCATCTTTAGAAATGTTAGCATCACGACTGTTACGCGTTTTAAAAGATACAGCAAGTTGTGATTCACTCATGAAAAATATAAGGCAGTCTGCCCGAACCAATAGTCGGTAAATTCCCCGTTAAACACAAAGCACATGTACCTATTTATTATCTACGCATGAGAATAGAAATGCGATTAGATCAAGAGTATATCCATTCTGAGCAATAAAAGGTTAACCGCCTATTTCCCGATTGGATAACGTGAATCACACAAAAACGTCTTTCCCTGCAGGGAATGCAGGTAAAATCTTCTCCCCTGTGCAGGCAGGAAAACATTCTTCTTTATCTGCCGGCCGTTAGTGGAAATTTTTTTTATTCACCTGCAAACTGCAACCTGCCTGCACTGCCTGCAGCTTGCAGGCAGTTTACCATGCAGGTGATCAGCTCTGGTTCAGTTTAGTAGAACAAAAGCTACGCTCTCTTGAAAACTTTTAAAATTATTTGCGAGAATATTGTGAGACGAAATTTTGAGACTTATATCCCGATTGGGATACGGGAGACGTTCCCTTACTGATTGAGGAAGTTTATTCCTTTTTTTTGTTTCGTTCAGATTATACAGAATCCATCCTTCATGAGTTTTTGGCTATATATATGTTGAGGTTAGAAATGTCTGATAGACTTTTAATATGATTTATATGATCGTATTTACCTTTAAAGGTTATGCTAATTCAGTCGATGGAGACACATCATCTTATGGACGAAGCACTTGTGAATAATCCCGATACTCGTACTGAAACGGATACATTTGGTCCAATTAAAGTACCCTCGAATCGTTATTATGGTGCTCAAACAGCTCGTTCAATGCTTCATTTCAATATCGGTATTCCGACAGATCGTATGCCATTACCATTGATTGAAGCATTCGGTTTATTGAAAAAAGCATGGTATAAATGGTTCAACAGATAATAAAAAATTTTAGTCGCTTATTTGTGTTATCTTTAGTGCTATTGTCAACCAACAGCATGGTTTAGATAAAAAAGTCGCTGATGGAATAATTCAAGCATGTAATTTGTCATTTTTGAACACATTTTTATGATAATGATGTTAGTTCGCACTCTATTTCAATAGGTGAAGAAGTTATTCAAGGAAAACTAAATGATAATTTTCCGTTAAGTGTGTGGCAAACGGGTTCTGGCACTCAAACGAATATGAATGTAAATGAAGTAATCAGTAATCGAGCAATTGAAATATTAGGAGGACAAATGGGCTCAAAAATGCCAGTACATCCAAATGATCATGTAAACATGAGTCAAAGTTCAAATGATACATTTCCTACGGCGATGCATGTAGCTGCTGTATTAGAACTCAATCGTCAATTACTTCCCGCATTAAAACATTTACACGATGAATTAAAAAAAAAACAAGAACAATTTCAGTTGATTTACAAAATTGGACGAACACATCTTCAAGATGCTGTACCAATGACGTTAGGACAAGAATTTTCCGGTTATACACATCAAATTCAAATGGGTATTGAACGTTTGAAAACGTGTGAAAAACGGCTACATGAATTAGCTATTGGAGGTACAGCTGTTGGGACAGGTGAGTAAATATTTGTCCAGTTTTATACAATATCGATTTTAGCGATAATTCTATTACAGGAATTAATACTCCAAAAGGGTTTGGAAAATCAGTTGCAGAAGCTTTGCATGACATAACAAAATTGCCGTTCGTTGATGCGCCAAATAAATTTGAAGCTTTAGCTACCCATGATACAATGGTAATACATTAAATCTCTATTTTAGATCGACTCGTATGACTAGTTTGATACGAACAATTTTAGGTTGAATTAAGTGGTTCATTGAACACATTAGCAGTCAGTTTAAGTAAGTGTCCACTATAATTGCAGGACAGTCGAAACATTTATCCAGTAAAAGGAAAGCTCAACAAATGTTGTTTTTGACATGTTTTAGTGAAAATCGGCAATGACATTCGTTTACTTGGATCGGGACCTCGTTGTGGTATTGGAGAATTAATCTTACCTGAAAATGAACCGGGTAGTTCCATAATGCCAGGCAAAGTAAATCCTACTCAATGTGAGGCATTGACCATGGTCGCAGCTCAAGTAATGGGTAATCACGTTGCTGTAACAGTTGGTGGATCAATGGGTCATTTTGAATTGAACGTATTTAAACCATTAATAATTAAAAATGTTTTACATTCTATTCGTATTCTGTCTGATGTATGTAAATCGTTTACAGAGCATTGTGTGATTGGCATAGAACCAAATATACCTGTACTGACTAAATACATGAAAGAATCGTTAATGTTAGTGACAGCATTAAATCCAGTAATAGGTAAGACAACATAGTTTAATGAAACTCTTCGAACATGCTATATTTTTACTTTCTTGTCTGTGAGTAGGCTATGATAAAGCAGCAAAAATAGCAAAAAAAGCACACAAAGAGGGAACAACATTAAAAGAGGCAACATTAGAATTAGGGTTTTTGACAGAAGAAGAGTTTGATAAATATGTGAATCCAAAACATATGGTGTAATAATCTTACAAATTCATGGCGGTTTTTTCAAATAAATGGATAAGCTTTTGTTTTGTACGGATTATTTAAAGAAGTTGAACAGTTTTATATATTCATTTATCTCATTTTTTAGTTATTATAAAAATATTTGTTTTTTTGTACAAAAAAATCTGATCTACTATTTTTTATTTAAAAACTTTACTTTTATTCGTCAAAGATGGAAACGAAAATTGACAGATCATGACAAAAGTGACTAAAAAAAGTCTCTTGTTACGCCAACCATTTACAGATGGCAAGAATATGAACTAAGACTAATGTCTCCTTAATAGATACTGTTGTAAATTATGAACAACATGAGGAAGAGGAAGACTTTCAACAACATTTTCAGGCTCGATCCACTGTTTAACTGATCTAATCAAAAATGTTTTGACCAAGACTGGTGTTTTATATGAAGGGGCGCTTTCACCTGCATCCAGTTTCGCCTGAGCGAATAACGACGCGTAGATTGCTCAATAAAGTCAAACGTCGCTAGCGAGATGTTATCAGAAAGTATTTTCCAGAAATACTTTAGTCTCGCTATTTTACATCCAACAGACAAGATTTCGAAATTAGCTTTTCTAGCAACACCAACAGAAAAAGAGGTGTTAGCTGGATGACTAATCACGATTGATAATTATCAGAGAAACATGAGTAGTCAATTAAGGCTGTTTATTTTGGACAAACATTCAACGTTCACTAGAGTACTTTGGGGTAAATAGAGACAATCCATTCGAATACATGGAGTTTTAATGAACAATTCCTTGTTAATTAAGTCTGAAAGATAATTAGTTCAAAAATATCTCATTTTGTAGTCTAGATCTTCTCCTCTCCACTCTATAGTTTTGGTGTCATTATCAATTAAACTCATTAAGGAGATTATGACACAATCGGCTGTACTCGAAATTGACCTCTTTTCGATTTTTATGCATTGTGTTAAACAGACACACTCGTCTAATTTTACGATTGAAATACACGGGATTCTCAGAAGGAAACCTCTACTACATCCCAAAAGCAAATTTTGATACTATACCAAACGACGAAGTTGTTTAGGATTCTAAACTCTATCACATATGTAAAAAATAGCTCAGGCGGATAGGCTTTCATATTGGCTTCACACTACATGAGATATGAATTTGAATATATTTTATGAACTAAATTAAATTTAAAATTAATTATGATAACTAGAGACGGGCATACGCATTTTGGATCTGGCCGGAGATTTTCAAAAGCTTTTTATATGTACGAGTAGAAACATGTTCGACCTACCACCCTATTTAATAGCAAGTTTTTTCGATCACAAACGCCAATAGCAAAAAAACGAGAAAAACGTCAGACAGTGTCTCAACAAAGTACTCTCTGTCAGGGAATATACAAAACTAATCTGTATCGAAAACAATATTGTTCAAAGCTATGTAGACATTCACTGACACGTTCCTAGTAGACAACGAGTGAATGAATATTTTGAATGCCTCTTGATCAAATGTCTTCAGTAACGCGCATTTCGAGTGTAACTATTAACTACTTGGTGAAAGTTTAATGTGAAAATATGGTACGATGAATGATTAAACGATTTTCAACACATTCTATTTTGGTCGGCTCATTATTTTTCTTTTGTATACGTAAATTTGTCTAAATCTCATTCATTTGTTTTCTTCTTACACACTGTTGAATGTCTGCCTTTTACTCTCTATTTCGGAGTGGACGGTCTCGTAATAAACAACATAATCAAATACCAATTGAGCCCCTAGAAACTTTTAATAATGATCAATATCTTAATGTTCATTCACGTTCTCAGTATAAAAATAAATTAGGGCTTTTGATGCAACATCCATATGAAGATGATTGGTTAAATTATATTAAACAATTGAACGTTAGTTGTTGCAGAGGAGATGATAAAGATAAAAAAAGCCAACCAACAACAAAAACAATTGTACAAGCGCAAGTTCGAGGTTCTGTTGACGTTCCCAAAATTATTAGTGATCACAAAATAGATGAAGTGAAATTCATTCAAGTAAAACAACATGAATCACCTGCTCATGATATTAAAAAATTATATGGTAGAGAAAAAATAATGGAAAAGCTTGTTGCAAAGTTGCAAGCGCGAGAAGTAACACAACCCATGAATATCGATAATGATATATTACCAATATTGAATACAAAAAAACATGTAATATTCCAACTGATATCACTTTATTTGAAAATTTGTTTATTAATTCTAAGAAAATGTTTGACCTAAACTTATTTTACGTCTGAACATGAAACTTTTAAAAATCTACTAGTTCTGCGTTTTTTTTCTAAGGTGATATTTTCTAATGAGCCATTAACAATTAAACCTGTAACAGCTATACCAGGTATCGGACCAATAATGGGTAAATTAGCCGAAAAACATGGTATTATCATGGCCTATGGTAAGTACTCTTTTCTATCATGATCACGTTTACCAAAACTATGTGAATGTAATGTTTTTGCCTCTTTTATCTAACGTTCGTCTAAACGCCATTTCAGATATGTTGGCACGTTATATGAATTCCGCTGGTGATAAGGAATTTGTAAAATCATTAATTAATGATATTGGTTTTACAAAGAAATCAGCCTTTATGGTCCGAGATGCTATGAAAGATACCGTCAGACATACGATTTAAATATTTTATGACTGTCTGAATTTCTTGTGCCGATTAGAAAACTTTACTTTTGTAATTCGATTACTACTTACTGTTGATAACGTAGATCACGTTCATAGTTATTCACAAAAACGATCTTTTTGTCCGTAAGTAACCTTCAGAGAATGATATATTTTATTGTTGGTTAACTTTACAATTTCAAACTCGAAAACGTTGAGAAGATTGTCATATTTAGCGTTCTCATATTTTATCTTTTAATGTGTGTTTGAAGTTATATATACAGGCAGGTCAGTATATAACTGACTCATCAACCATGTTTTCTTCATTATTATCAATAAAAACAAAAACGTTACAACTTTTAATTTTTCTTTCGTTATCTAACTCTGAAACGAATGAATTTTCATCGAGCTGTATAACTTATACAGTTAAATCGTTTTTTGGACGTTGTTTCTTTATGAGTCATCATCTCGCAGCTGACGGAAAGGAGGTAACATCACAATTAAGGCATTAATCTTAGTTACTGTACATACAACTCTCTTAGCTCTTAAAATAAAAACAATCTCTAAACAATAATCTGAAGATTAAAACATTTACAACTGATTAGCTGTTTAGTAAAAATATCGAACGTGAAGAAAGAACAGTAGTAACAATTAGAATATCTATTTTCATGATGACCAAAAATATAGCCACGCAAATTTCTATTTAGGCTGTTGTAGCCCAGAAAATAAATGACAATTTGGGGTGTTGTACAAAAACTATAAGATCAAAAACTTTAGTTAAACTTAAACTAAAACTAGATAATCTATCTTATAAAGATATTTTTACCGGTATATAAAGCGTTCTTATTCCGTTGACTTAGGCAAATCCTAAGGTATCTATTAACTTTCAGTAACTTTTCTTCGCTCAAGTTAGATCCAAGTTAGTCATCTAACTTTCTTAATTCAGACATCTAAACTTCTCTTTTAGTTTTTTCATGAAACACATTCTATTTAAGAGTCGTTGCACGGTACAGATGACCTAAGTTACTCAGTCAATGTCTGAACTTTTTGTTCATATTTGCATAGTAGGTAGCAACGACACTTAAATAGAATGTG